TGCGGCGGCTGCGGCAGCGCCGGGGTCTGGGAAGAAGCCGGCCCCGACCTGCGTGCGGTGGCGTCCCCGGGCAGCAGTTTGTAAAAGCCCTCGCGGGTGCGGAACTGCGACTTGATCTCAGCACAGTCCCCCATGGCGGCACCGGGGCCCGAGCCGCCCTCCGCACCGCCCGCCGCCATCTTGGGCGCCCCCCGGGCCCCGCAGCTACCCCACCGCAGCCCGCTGCCGGGCCCCTCGCCGGAAGCCGGGGGCCCGGGACGGAAGAGGTGGTGCCGTCGCCCGGGCGACGCCTCTTCGATTGGCAAGAGGGTCTGAAGGCAGGACTAGCTCCTACGGTCGCCCCGGTAACAGTTTTGGGTTATGGGCGGGGCGAGAAGGTAGGTGGGGTCTACATACTGAGATGGGTTTGTGATTGGCTAAGAGGTGGGATCTGCTGTAAAAGAGGCGGGGACTTTTGGAAACCCTAAGTCCCTAACAACCGTGCTCTGAGAGCGTTTGCCTAGCAACCGAGGTACCGGCAAAAGAAGCCCTTCTTACCCAGGCTCCCCCACGACGCTAAACGATTAGTATTTTCTTAGATGCTCAATATCCACCTTTCTAGTATCTTTAAGCCCCAACTGACCACAGTGTTTCCCATCATCCCTCTTTAATGAGGTCAAATTCATGCAGATTATATCCTACTTTATTATATCAATCATAATCTATTGCTATAAATCTAATGCTCACCCTAATAGTTCTCTGTATTTCCTACCAATCTCCAACTTATCCATAACTTCATTATCTTCGACAATCTCACTCGCTCTTCCAGTATTCACCCCCTATTTCAAATGATCATTGATGTGAGAAATGCCCCCTAACGTTCCAATGATACACTAATGATCCAGTCAGTCTCACACTGACCCTAAATAATCCCTGATCGCTAGTAACCCAAACCTACTGCTGTAGGTTATTTACATAGTTCTTGAGTGATTCCAGCTCATGGCAGCCCTCCATGGGTTTCTGAGGCTGTAAATCTTAGCCAGAGTAGACTGCCTCATTTTCCTCCAATGAGCAGCTAGTGAGTTTGAACAGCTGATCTTGTGGGTAGCAGTTCAAAACTTAACCTTCAGGGAGCTCTGGTGGCCTAGTGGCAAGAAGCTGCACTGCAATCCCAGAGGTGCATAGTTTGAATCCACCAGATGCTCTGCTGGAGAAGGAGGGGCAATCTACTCCTGTACCAGTGAGATCTGATTTGACGGTACATGCACAAAAATTAATAAAATAAAAAAAATTTAAAAAAACCTTAACCTTCTGCTTCATAGGGCTCCTTCACTGATCCCTGATTAATAAACTCAAGGGAGCCCTCGTGGCCTCCTCTGTAGGGATTTGCACTGTTAACCCAAAGGCCCCCTCTGGTGGTTTGAATCCACCTACATACATTTCATCAGAAAGATGGGCAATCTCCTTGAGATTTAGTCTCAGAAACCTGAAGGAGGATTAGCTCTGAGCTTATTCAGACTGGACTGCAATGAGTTTGAGTTTTTAGATAGACTTAAGCCCACTTTTGTCAGTGACAGCCTCTCTTATTGCTGTAGAGTTGTCACCTAGTCATAGCAGGTTTTGTGAGGGTCTAAATCACACAGGAAGAAACTGTCCATGTTTCTCGTGAAAAGCAAGCGGCTGGAGGGTTTGGACGACCAGAGTAGCACTACGTTTGGGTTAGTAGTGCAAACTCCCTGTGGACACCACCACCAGTGATCTTCAATTCTGCTAACGTCACCCAAACTCCATCTCCATCACAGATTCCCCCAGACCCATTTATTCACAGCTTCCTGGATATCTCTCCCAGACCATTCTCACACTTCCACACGGCATCAAAGATAGGTCGTTGTCAAGTACTGATGCCATCAGGGTCCTAGCCCTGGTCAGAGCCCGTCTGCGGGTCCCTAGTACTGATGGGGCAAATGATCTAGCTCCTTCCAGCTTCTGCTTCCAACTTCATCTCTCATCACTAAACCCTCACACTATGCCTCACCTAAAATGCAATTTTAATAACTATCCTGGTACCTTGAACTCTCTTTTATCCTCTCATCTTTGCACAATCTGTTCCCTATGCTTACAACACCTTTCCCTGCTCTTTTATTGATATTTTAGGAATCGGCTCAGGAGCTCTGACAGTGGCCTGGACATTCCCATCTGGGTTGTTGTTATGTGGGGACGCTTCTGTCTCACTTACATAGTGTGAGCTTTGGGAAGTCTGAACTTGGGCTACATGGTCTCCCTCTAGGTCCCCCAGCATGGGCTGAGCTGAAAGGAAGAACTTCCATGGTTATTTGCTGGCTGTTTAAATAAATAAAGGCAACAGATGGGAGCGCCATATTGCCAACGATTGTGCTGAAGAAATGAAATGAACCGGAATGCCACAGGGACATTTTATTTGAAGCAGCTGCTGCTGCCTTCTTCTCCTGACCCTCCTTGGGCAGAGAGAAAACCAACAGCGGAAAAAGAAACCTTTAAATGAGCATGAGGGAAATCTGCTATCTATCTACCTGTGTGGGGAAAGGGGCTCTGGGGGCTCAGTCATCTTCCTCCTCATCCTCCTCTTCCTCCTCATCCTCCTCTTCAATCTCTGCAGCTGCCAGCGCCTGCTCCTGGGCCACCTTGAGGGCCTGCTCCTCCTCCACCGTGGGGTCGTTCATCTCCATGATCTCGAGCCCACTGGGGTACTCCTGCTGAACAAGTGCTGGCAAGGCCGGGTTGAAGTTCTCGGGGCTGTACTTGTGGCCCCAGCCAATATAGATGTTCTCGAATTTTCTGGAGGGGCAAGTGAGGGACTGTGAAATGTGCTCCCCTCCCTACCTGAAGTATCCCATTGTGGAGCTTCATTGAGGCTGGGTCCTGACATGGACACGGTATGATATAGAAAGCGGCAGGGTAAAATGAGCCCATGCGGGTCCATACTGAATTGTCCATTCAACAAACATTGAGCACCTAGACGCGTCTGTGGCCAACCCAAAGGCAGGCAGTTCACATCCACCCGCTGCTGCATGGGAGAAAGATGGGTAATATCCTCCTGTGTGATTTATAACCCCTGTAAATTTGAGGGTCACCTATGAGTTGGTTCCAACTGAATGGCACATAACAACAACAACAACTGACTGCCTGTAACAACAGTAAGATCATATGCACAGCTTTCATTTTATTTCTACCAGAGGAGCTGGCCAGATTCTGGAACCCCAGTAGTGAGCAAATCACACCCAAAATAAGTCAAAACAAGACAAACAGTTCCTGCTGCGTGGTTTTTGCCCTTCTGGGAGGAGACTGTTGACAGGAAAGTGGACATCTGATCCAGTCTTAATCCTATCCGTTCCACACATCCCTGGAGTTTTATCAAGGGAAGGAAAGAGGATTTACATGAGAGAAAGGAAGGAAACAGAAAGATAGAGATGTGGATGGATAGAGAGGCCCAGAGAATGAGAGAGAGGAGAGAGAAAGGCAGGGAGAGATGGACAAGAGACAGAAAGACATAGCGACATGGATGGGCAGAGGCAAAGAGAAGCAGGGAAGAATCAAAGAGAGGACTCATGAGAGGAGAAAAAAAAAGAATCAAAGAGAGAGTCATGGAGGGAGAATGAGAGACAGGAGGGAAGGAAAAAGAGAGAGGCAAAACCAGAGAGGATGTGACAGAGACAGGAGACCTGGAGATGGAATGCTTGTCTTGAGAAGCTCTTTGCTTTCGCTTTATTTTGACAGCTTCACTGTTGCTGAGAGCACTGTCTCCCTCCTGGTCTTTCTCAGAGACATTTGAACCAGGAGACCCAGCATCACCTGGGAGTTTGGCAAAATGCTGAACCCCATGCTTCACCCAGGCATACAAAGCAGGAGTCTGCATTGTAACCAGATCATATCCCCTGCACCCCTTGAGAAGCTCTGATCTAGCAGGTCCTTTGCCTGCTTTCCCTTGTTACCTCTTCCCTTCCCTCAGCCAAGACTCAAGATCAAAGGAATCTTCTCATGATAACCCCTAGACTCGGGCATAGCAGTTATGAATTAGTCCCTGCACTCTCCCTACTATTATTTCCTCTAAACTTGTAACATGGTATTTGCGGTGGTGGTGGCGGCTTATTAAGGTTTGAGTTCCTTTTGCCTGCTTCCAGGATCAGGATCTGAACCTGCCTTTTTTTCTATCTTGGATCTACCACACAACGGGCATGTGATGTTCCAGCATCTTTTAAGAAGAAAATAATGGGTAAATTGTGAATGAATGGATAGATGGGAGGTGGACTGATGGGTGGGTGTGTGGGTGAGTGAGTGGGTAGAGAATAAATGAATGAATAGGTGGGTGAAGGTGAATGGGTGAAGAGAGGATGGGTGGAAGACTGGTGGAAGATGAAGTAGATAGGCAGGTAAGAATTTTGAGCATATAGACAGTTAGTGGGAAGTTGAAGAATAGCTGGGTAGGGAGAGTTTCTCAAGTTTGGATCTTTCGCTTTGAGGGATGTTAGCAAGTCAGAAAATAGCCAGAAGCAGAGGCATGTTTCTTTCCAGTTTTTGGACAGGAATAAAAAACTTGCTAAGAATGTGGTTACTATGTCAAGATGACAGCACCTCCCATCACAACAGTGAATCACAGGGCAGCAGTTTCTCACGGAGATGGAAAAACCTATGAAAAACAGTCCCGCCCCCTGGTGGAGACAGCTCGTAAGTGCACTCGCCTCCCTTGCTTTGGCGCCCCCTATCCTTCTCAGAGTCAGCCACACCTTGCTGGGATCCACACAGTCAAATGTCTTTGCATAGACAATGAAACACAGATAGACACTCCTCTGGTATTCTCTACTTTCAGCCAAGATCCATCTAAAATTAGCTATAATATCCCTAGTACTGCAGCCTCTTCTAAACCCAGCCTACACATCTGGCAGTTCTCTGGTGATCTGCTGTTCCAGCCATTTTTAGAAAATTTCCAGCAGTATCTTGCTGGCATGTGCTATTAATGACGTTGCTGTTGTTAAGTGCCATCGAGTCGCTTGCAACTCATAGCGACCCTATGTACAAAGGCCCTAAACTCTGCTCTGTCCTGTGCCAATCGCACTGTCTCTGACACTCCCATCCCGATTATCCCAGTCACTGAATCAATCCACCTCATA